GAGCGTTTTCTGTTTTCATAAAAACGAATTATTACAAATTGTTCAGAATTCCTTACTTTGTACTCAGAATTTTATTAAGTTTTCTTGGGCAGTGTTTTTCTTGTTTAATTTTCTGACGTTATCAAGGGAAACAAAGATAATAAAAATGTGAGTGGAAGCGCTATATAATATTTTACATACGTATCTAATCGTTAAAATGTATTTATCTCTTCTGAGCGTTTTAACCTGATAAATATAGTATGCACATTGTTGCATTTATATGCAACTTTATTTATGCAATTTATTTATATGCAATTTTACGATAAGAAAGGTCATTAATCTATTAAATGCACACACTTAATAATAACAACAATAATATCAATACAACAAATGATAATTACGATTAATGTTCCAGATAATTAAGATTAATTTGTTCCAATGATTTTGATATTTAAATATGATGTTACAGTGAATCACATTTATATATTCGGACATTCTTTAGGAAAACAAATTTACTTTCAAAATTGGTCCACAAGGTTTGAGTTATTTTCTCGCAAATTAGAAACATTAGTCTATCAGATAACGTGTGTAAAAGAAATGTCTAAAAAATCGTAATTGATCAGAATCGCTGGATTTGGATTTAGAATTGGATTCTCCAATTAGTTTCCATATTTGTTACATACGTATGTGTACATACGTTGTATTTTGAATACGACAATTGTTACAGATGTCAATACTACCTATACAACAATGCTTCGGTCTCATTTTCACGGAACGTTTCCTTGCACTTGGTATTACTGCCACACAAACGTCCTTAATTCTTCATTTAAATGGGACAATTACGTGCAGTCTAGGCTTGATAAGCGGGCCGATGATGAAAAGGTTCACATTTCGAAAAGTTGCTTTTGTCGGCAGCATGACAATTGCAGTTGGCATCTGCATGACTGCGTTTGCAATCTCTGTTCCTTCTATTATCTTCACATATTGCATTATCCTGGGTGAGTGATTTATAATATCTTCACGCATTCATTATAAAAGCTCTCGATTGGAGTTCGTTGAAAATGTTCAGTTGCTATAATGGACTATATGGGATTCTATCGCGGCTTAATTCGCAGGCATCGGTTTCGGAATCATGTTTCCAGCAACGACCCTAGCAATGAATACGTACTTCCGGAAGAAACGTAATATGGCAATGGGATGCTCGGTTACTCTGACCGGTCTCGGTCCTATCTTAATGCCTCTTCTAATAACAAAATTACTAGAGAATTATGCTACCACCGGAACTCTTTTAATTCTCTCTGGTATTGCTGCACATGCTTTCATTGGAGCGTCATTGTTAAAACCATTTAGAGAAATGGAGGTAAGTCATAGACACGTTAAGATGCGATCGTTGTTAAGAAGACACTAAACGTTGCATAAAGAGTTCATATTTGGGTGTCACTCGTAATCCCATTGACAACGACGTATCATAGAAAAGAAACTAATTCAAGAATAATTGTGTCTCGGAATCATTTCTGTCGGTAGAAATTAAAAATGAAAATACGATTGTTAATTTTCATGATCATATTACTTCTCTTACATTCTTAATTTTTTAAATACATTGAAAAATATTTGCAGAAGTTGGGAAGTTCGAATGTTTTTTTCTTAAATCGTTTCCAAACATTATTTTCTACGAAACTTTTCTGTGTAATTTCACGTTACTTTGTCAGAAAATATTAAAATCTTTTTCGTCTTATAAGATTTTAACACTGCAGTTTTGTGTCTTCTTCATATTGTAGGTGACGAACGCGGACTTACGTTCACCGTCAGATTTGATTTTAAATAGATTTCATGTATCGCGAAGGACAATGACACCATGGAATCTTCCGTAGAATGTATCGACGCTCGTGTTACCAAAGGATTTGAAGAATTGGACCTGAAAAATAAAACTGACGTGAATGATGCTGAAAGTAAATGCCAACTCTTGTATAAAAGTGACAATATCAAAATTAAAACGTCCACGCCAAGCCTGAATGATGAGGGTAAAAAGGAAGATAAAAAAACGTTTCTGTCAACGATCTCAGAGAATTTGGATCTCGATATGCTGAAGGACACTCGTTACGTCGCAGTTATATTAGGTAACGTCTCAATTGTTTAATATATTGTTTTTCTTTCTTTCCTAAATTCTCCTGACGCTGTTAACAATCAACTGACCAAGCAGTCAGTACTATGAATGATTAAAATCGTGAAACGAATGGCGGCACTAACGGCAATGAAAGATTGACATAATCGAAGCATGTACATGCAATACTGCAAGTTTGAAATCGAGATAGGAAAACATGCACCGTATTTCTGGAACCAATAATTCACGTTCTAGGCCGTCGCTTAAAGCTGTACCGTGCGATCAGACACCAGAAAAAGCGAATGGTAATTGGCACTAAAATCCGCTATCTGAATCAAGATAGTCTAGAACTGGCCTTGAAGGATAAGGGAAAAAATACAAAACAACCGTGGAATATATTAAGATAAAAACAGGATGCACTATAGCAAAAGTGCTGCCAATAGTAGCAGGAACGAGAAAGGCAATGCCCTTTGAAACAATCCAGAATCTGAGGATATCGTCGATAGCTGAAAAGATTGATTAGTTATCTTAATGATTGCACCGAGATCATTCATATGGATAGCAAACGTTTTACGGTTTAAATATATTAAAAAAATCAATAAATATACAATGTGGAGCACAAGGAAGAATATGTTCTGGTTTAGGTCTGGGTTAGATAGACTACATGGCGGGAGATTATTAAACATAAATGATTGTGATCTTGTATCTTTTTGATGCAGCTAATATAACCAGTGTTGTATATAATGAATTAATTTTATTATTGGCCTCTAATTAACTGCCACTATGTATGTTTTCTCTACAATAGGGATGGGAATATCTTTGGTCGCTGAGACAAACTTCAACGCTTTGATACCCTTCATTCTTGCCGAGCTGTCTGGACTTCAAAGAACTTCGATAGCAACAATCATGTCGATTCAAGCTGCATCAGATATTACTGGACGATTGTGCGTTCCACTTTTGGCACAAAAAGCTGGTTGGACGCCAAGGAATCTTTACATATTATCGTTGATCGGCTCGACCATTGGAAGAACTAGTAAGTACAACAATTCATTATTTGAATACAAAAATTTCTCAAGCGTTTTCAATTTGAATCGTTTACCATCCGCAAAAGTTAAAAGTTAAAAGTTAAAAGTACATTACATTGATTAGCATCTGAAGAACAGTGTTTCATGCAGTGCAAATTATTGAATACAATCAAATTTAATTGAATAAATATTGTCGGTTTCAGTATTATCGATCTGGGGAAGCAGCTATGCTGTTGTTATCGGTGTTGCATTGATTATTGGCATTGCAAAAGGGACGAAAGCTGTTTTCCAAACGTTAATAATTCCTGATTACGTGCCACTTGAAAGATTGCCCGCTGCCTCGGGCATGCAAATGGTTTCCAATGGTATACTATCTATTGCCATAGGCCCAATCATAGGTAAATGTTCATTTACTTCACTATCTTCTCAAACACTAGAATAGATGTAGATCTCTACATCTATTACTGTTCTGTTTGCGTTCAAGGTGTAGTTCACGATGCGATGAACAGTTACGTAGGTGCTCTTCATTTCACTTCTTTCTTAAGTCTCTCTTGTGTCTTTCTGTGGTACGCGGGAGGACTTTGGAGGATAAACAAAGACACTGAGAATCGTTACAAGAAAGGAGAAATGAAAGGTGTACCGGATGATGCGTATGAATCTAGCACGTAAGATACTGTTATGTAATTTAATTGGAAAATTTTTTTTTAAATTGTATAACTTAGCGATGGTATAAATTCTGTACCTGAGGGCTAGATCGATCCATGTTCTTCTATAACAATTTTCATCAAAGCAGAAATCATTACAATATCCCTAAACGTTCCTAAATTTCATGTTCTCAATGTCACACGAATGTGATTGTGTTATTAAATTGGTCTCGATCTCAGCTATTAGACACATCAATAGTCTTACAATTTTGGAAAATAAGACCTTGACAGAATTGCTGAAACTTTTTCATTTTAAAATTCTTTTCCATCATCAAAGATAAGGGAGAAATTTTAATAAGGGAAGAGTAGTAATATGATGACCACAAAATTTTAGCAAAGTAAATTTGGACTAGTTTATCTCTTAGATACAGAATTCTACTTTTTCATTTACTTTATCTTCATGCCATACTTCAATAGCGCTATCAATAATACAATAACAGATACAATAACCAAAATCTGGACATTTCATCGTCATTGTTCAGACTGCCAGTTCTGGAGAATTCCAGTTAGTTTAGAACAATTCCCATTTGTCCAAACTCATCCCATTTGAAGTGGAACCAAATTGGGATGAAAATATTGATCCTTATTAAAGAACTAAATACTGAATCTCTGTTATTGCAACAATAAAATAATCGATATTTGAATAATAAAGAATGTACTATATAATTGGTTTTGTAGTTCTGTCAGTTTTGCGAAATTTACGGACCCACGGTCATTAAAATTGAAGCCATCGTTCCATAATCTCAATAATAGTAATTACATTATATATTAATATTTTATTACAGATTTTTTCACAAGGATTCAAAGGGACCAAAGAAATTAAAATAAAAAAATAACTTGGGCTTATAATACTCCACTTAACTGTATAATTAAGGTCAGGGTTGAAAACAGCTTCTCGCTGTACCTTGACTCTTTTTTTGTAGCAAATGTGTTTAATTTTTTGTTTCTCGTTTTCTAAGCACATTATTGTGTCTAATAATGTTTGATATTCATATTTTTGTATATATGAATACTAGACATTTTTCCTGCTATTTATAAAAGCTTATACAATTATACAATACTCATTAAATTCACAATTGTAATGTAGGTGTATATACAAATTCATTCGGAATTTTTTTTTACAGAAATCAACTTCTTGTTTTCAGAAAAAATAAAAATATCTTCTTCCTTGAAATATATTTGCTATCATTTTTTTGTGGGTTTCCTCTATCTTTGGCAATTAATAAATCCTCTTGCGAAGAAAAGAATGGCGACTTTGAATCGATAAAACCGTCAGTATATACATATTTCCAAATTTCTCTCATTGTTTGGAGTATCTTGAAGATCATGACTTCAGTCTTATAATCAATAGTGCCTTGTAGTCCAGATTTAATAGATTTATAGAAAGTCTGTACTTTAAACTGATGAGCCACGGAGATATCGAATGTCTATAGAACGATAATTTTAGCTAATTCTACATTATAGTTTCGTATTTGTTAATTGTGGGCAAGTAGATTAAGATTAAAATAATTTTCACATCTGTGCTCAACGATCATAAGTAGCAACATATAAAAAGTGTCTGTTCCTCTTTTGAAACGTGGAAGCGTACTAACGGAAGAATGTGTGTTTACTTAAATACGTTGTCTTCGCACAGGAGTGCGATACTGCAGTGAAAGAGGCTGCAGTGACAGTGGTTTCGAGGTCAGTAGAACACACAGTAGGTTCCATTATAATCCGTAAACAGCATTTACGATCATGAAAAATTTCTTCACAAATTTTACCATAATTTTATACAATACAAATTTAAAAATAATGTTAAAGAGAAACGGCACGATTACGAGTATTGAGTACAATGATTATCTAATCATTGCATTAATTAGATAAATTATCACCTAGTAGAGGACTTGAATGAATTTTTAAGATATACATATTACTACGTTTTGTTATCAGGATATGACAAAAACAAACCTTCAGATAAGAGAGGCTCTTCTGTAAGAAATGAATATGGACATCTTTATTATATGTAATTTAAGTAGTATATGATAGGAATTTCAGCTAAATATTTTATACTAGTACAAAACTAATTCTCCAAAACAAGTTTTGCGGTTCCAGATATATTTTCGTTTCATTCAAATATTTTTAATTTGATTCAATCATTTTCAAAAAAAGACAGCTATTTGAACTAGCAATTTCCAACTTCCTTTGGCTGTGAAAAAGAAGAAAATATGCACGGATGAAAATCGTTAACGACTAGATAATGTTACATTAAAATTTGATCTAAATTGGTCCAGCACTTATATAATTCCAGTACCAATTATAACATTAATTTTAATTTCAATCATTTGTTGTCACTGTCCGAAGCGACTGCAGTGCCAAATCAAATGACTGCCTTATCAGCGTAATTCGCACCAACAGACTCGCTAAGTCAAAAGATTCATATCAGTGAAACTCGCTCTAACAGAATATACAACTTTTGTAAAAACGAGATATGGACCCATAAATCAAAAGACTGTCTTATCGATGCAATTAGTTTGGTCCAGTGTGACATTCATCTCGACTAACATTACTATTTCCGGGGCCGGCCGAGTCCACGCTGAAATGCGCGCACTTGCGAGGCAAAACCACCTTTCTCCTAATTGATCAAGGAAGAAATCCGTTGGGGCGACCAGTCGCGTAGCCCTTGCTACGTCACTGAAGGGGCCCCGTGACACACATCAATGGGCCCAAAGGTAACGGTACCGGCAACAGTGACCTACTCTTCGGCCGACGTTGCTCTCTCTTCCCCTTTCTTCCCTCGTAACTCTGTCTTGCTTTCTCTTGATTCTCGGTCAAGCGAGCGTCGAACGCTCCGCGAAGGACTTCCCGGCCCGTACTTTTACCAATGCTGGCTTACCGATGCCCGTTCGCGTCGCGTGTGTGAGCCGCCGGCTGATTACAGTCAGTAATGAAAGCGTCCTCTTCGCGCGTGGAGGTGCTGACATGTAGCCACGAATGCTCGCTCCCTCGTCCCGTCGCCCTTTTTACGGTAGCAATCGGCTTCCCAGTGTAAACGATACGCGTCCGAACCAGCCGCGTTGATACCGCCAATACCTTCTGGGCCGACGGTCCAACCCTCTAAACGACCGTCAAATACGAGTTATGAATGTAATCGGGAGTCTTGTTCTCCAGGTGAGCTTATTTCGCCCGTATTAATATTGAAAAACCGGAAAACTTTGCAATTTCTATGCAATGTAACATTGCTGTAGTGACAACCTGCGTACAGATACTGCGACTCTGCAACAGGCGCAAACAAAAAGTGACCAGTTTCGAAGTCTAATAATAAATAATACAATCTAAATATAGTATAACCTACTTGACAATAAAGCTACCGTGACCTAAACGCGATCAACGTTTGTTACTTCATAACGATGACAAGACTGAATTTCTCGAGCATTTTCTTCACAATTTTTATTGTAATGGGTTTGATCAATAAGTTCCAGTTCATTTAATCATCTCCTATGAAAGAGTCCTCACGATTTGAACAACTTTGGAATACAAAAATGTGAAACTGATCATCTTGATCGGTTCGGTAGGTTTAGTGTTAAGGGTGACAGATTCTAGATTAAGGAAAGCAAATCGCGATTTAGCTATTGTCACATTCAATTGTTTATGGATGGATCCACTTAAATTCATTTGCATTTATGACGCTTGATTCCATCAGTTGCACCTACGGCGATAGTTATTAGAAGTTAATTGTTGAAATGTTGATAGTCGAACGTTGAAATAAAAAGTTGGAAGAATATAGTGCAAAGTAACGTTAGATTTTAATTGTAAAGCTGTTTTATTAACGGTATCCTGCGAGCCTTCGTAAACTTCTGCCTATGTTAACGATTGCACAGAAAATGGTAAAAAAATACCCTACTGCAATCGTGCGGCCATTGCGCTGCCAAATTCTTGTGCAGTATAGAGGAGAGTTCATTTTGTGGTTCCTCAAGTTAGCCTTTCTGTCTTGCTCTTCCTGCAGCTCATGATGATACAAAGTCGAACGAGCATCCCTAACATTCAGATCTTCGAGTTCTCTTAATAAACGTATGGACAAATTTTTATTAAATATTCCACTAATTGAAACAAGAATACCAAAATGTATAGTGAAGCTTCTATGAACCGAAGTGTATTTAGAAATATCAAATAGCCGAGAGTTTTATCGGTCATTGCAATCTTTGATGAAGAAATGTTTTCTTACTTTTCGCTGCTTTTACGTTTCGATCTACTAGAAAAATCCTTATTAATTGATATGAAAACATTGTTCTGAGCATATCGTTTTCTGAGTAAATCTATTTCTTCTCTTGAGACAAACGACAATATTTCGATATCATTAGAATCGTTTGAACCAATATTTCATTTCACTTTCCTGCCCGGTTCCTACTACAAAGGGACCCCGAGAAAAATAACTTAGAGAAGTGAAAATAACGGTTCCATCCTTTAAAATAAGTCCAGGTAGATACTTGTTTTCTCTTATGAAGTTACAATAAATTATGTTTACTCTGATCTGACCAGTTCACTTCCTTTCCAGTATAAGAAAGTAAACATATTCTATATTTCTCAATGCTATTTTGTTCGACGGTATTTATTTTTTACAGAACGCTTTGTATTTTAGTTCGACATTATTTCTTATGTAGATTTTGCATTTTGCACAGTTTAATTTATTGCGATCTAATTGTTGGACTCCGTTAATCTTCAGTGTACCTTATTGTAGTATACTCAGCACGTTTGCTTCGTTCTGCACCCGATTGATACATGAGCGAATTGTGGATGGACTTTAACTTTCGATTGGTAGAACGCGGTCACGATACGTGGTACGAATTGCTAAAATTCATAACGTCAACTAATCTAACTCGTTAGAAGTAGGAGCGTAGCGAAGATATTTTAATATCCTTGGTAAATTCAATTTCCCTAAGGGAGAATTAAACCGTTTCTCCAATTAAATTTTAAAACTTCCCGGTTGCGATTACAAGAATATTTAAATTCTTATATATTTTTCGTATAACATCGATATTTGAATGAATCAACCCTAAATAATAAATATTATATATTTGAATTTGCAGGTCGATAGCTATCCAATTATTCCCGAATTTGACACAATCTACAGCACATTTTGAAATTTTAAATTGTTGACCTAACATATACAATATTTTCTCAATGGTTACACGAGTTCACTAAATGTTTTTATTCATGTTTTCATATAAATGATTTGTTTGTACGTAAACTCGATCATCAAAAGCTTTTATCACTTTAATTTCGTTTCATTCTATAGGTGATCATATATCAGCTCGTGCGATGTCAAGGAAGTGGTGGCCCAAGTACTTTTGGATATGATGCATCGTCAGCCTGCAGTAAACCGTACTCGCGTTCCGGACGTACGAGATTTACAAACCTGCCCTGTGACTTCCGGCGTCAAAACTGGTGTACTGTAGCTGGCAGTGCATATCCTTGGTACCTCAACCATATTATTTTATTATAATCCGGACGTAAATATTAGAAATACCTGTACTTGTACAAACATCCTAAAGGATAGCCTTCCATTCGTTTCTCTAAGAATTTAGTGACTTTAAGAATATCGTGCTTTTAAATATCTTGGAAATTTAGAACTGGTAAATAAGAATTTACAAAATCTTAGAAAGCAGTCTGCTTTTATAGCATATAACTGTAAAAGCAGTGAAACTTCTGACTTCTGTTAAGATATAATTACAAACGTAATTATACTAATATTATACAGTTCGTAAAAATTGAAATATTAATTTTTTGTCTAATATTGCCAATTATTGAGATTTTATCAATGATCCTATACTGAAAATTATTTTTTCAAACTTTGAATAAATATTCTTCAAAAATTAAAGAAAATAATTTATGAAACTTCTTTTCACGGATATGTTTAGAAAGACATATACAGAATAATTATATTTTTGTGAACGTTGGATGAGTATCCATATATTAGTGAGAACAGGGTGTATATTATCTTGTAACATTATATTATCGAATAACGCAGCTTTTAAATCTCTATATAAAATTTAAATTTTATATTTATAAAATAATATATTCCATGCGCAATGCAATTATATGACTACTGTAATATTTGCTGTAATTAGACTGCGGATTTTATACATTTGTAGANGTAGGCTTTGTATAAGTGGAATACGCGAATAAAAACTTTAAGTAAGTTCAACACAAAAGTCTTCGTTTTATTTACTACCCAATTGTTGGTTTTCAACCAGGAACAGCAATTCC